ATACTGGCGCGCAACCTACATTAAGTTTATTAATATCATCATCATCACTAGGCTCACTACTGGAACTATCCCTTACGTTGATTATTAATTTTTGTTCACAAACTCTGTCCAAGTGGATATCTCGCTCCCAATTTTCTAGTGTATATTTCTTTGCGTGTTCCACGACTTTTCTCCAATCATCCGCAAGAACGTTATCACAGGCATTTTGCAACAAAGTCAGAGTTTTCTTAGCCTTAAATGGTGGAGATGTGTTATGTAGTCAACGTAGGTATACTACGTATAATGACAAATAAAACAAACCTTTGACATAAGCCCAAATTCTTTCGACGGCATTGTAATGGTAATGATATAGTTGCAATCTAAGCACCGTATGGCCATGTTGTTCAGCGAATTCATCCAAAATGTGGGTTAGCTTTCTGGCTTTCTTTTCTTTCACTAATCGGACCATTTCATCTTTCAACATATTTTCATTGACTTCAATGCCTTTGCTCTGGCAGCCAAGATATAAGCTCCAATTTTCTGCTGCTGGATGTTGGAGCTTTGTCCTTTTGTAAGGAATGGTACGGCGCATTATCCTTAGTAATCATATGTGGTTCATGAAGATTTTTCAGCAATGTTAAAAACCACTCTTTGAACTTTTCAAAACTCATCTTCTCTTGATATTCTGTTGTTTTTGTTGATTTGAAATTCAATAAACAATTGGGTACAAAACCGTTAGCTGTCCCTGCGCGAGCAATTATCAGGCGTTGTCCTTTGCCTTCGGGCACTTTGGTGACTGATTGTGTCGTGTCATCAGTCCACGCTTTCGGTACAGTGGGGTCCGCATTAAGCCACGTCTCGTCCAGAAATACTACTTTATCTCAATTTGAAATATTTGCGCCCCATTATTGTGTAACCCAATTTTGCGTAGTATGGTGGCAAATGACCGCAAACTGCCTTTAAATAAATCAGGGTCTTTAAGTAACGCTATTAATTTTCTTAGTGTTAGATATTCAGCACGTATATAATACGCATATAAATGGTTGCGTATTGCGGTGGCATCAAAATCATCAATCGCAATGATACTCGAAACTCTCCTTCTTTTTTTATTTGGCGTTGACAAATTTTTTCCGTGTCGTCCTTTATCGCTTGAGTTGACTATGGCTTGCCGTACTTTTTTTGCGTTATGCGAGATACCGTCTCACGACCGATGCAAAGAGCATCCGCAACTCTGTTAAATACTGACACTCACGTTCAAAATAATCTCGCAAGTGAACCAAAAATTCGCAACATTTGCTATTCAAAACAGTCTTTTTCGTTCTTTTTACTATTGTGTAACCAAAAATAACATAAACTTAAGGAAAAACTCAACAAAAACAGTAGATAGCAGAAAATAACAAAAACTGAATGATAGCCTATACAAAGTACTAACGGCGCGGCGTCAAAACTCGTACTGATTACAAAATGGCTGACTGACGAAGAGAAGGATATCAGGCTGTATTTTTGCCACAATCTTGGAGTCAATAGATCCTTTTTTTGATTTCTATATATTTTTATTTCAGAATAACAGCTGACAATATAGGGCTGACACGCAATCACTACCGTTAATAGAACATATTTTGCCAATAAAGAGCCAATTCCAATACATATTTACGTGATTTTAATATATTCGATTTATTTCAAAACCGATTTATGATAATTGTGGCTGTACGTTATGTCATGGCATAGCTTAGCGTGGCACATCGCTAGCGTAAGTGGGCCGCATAGACTTAGGCTGAGATCTATAGACCGTGCTTTGCCTTTGCTCAGACTTTACTGTCGGTATTATAGTTTATAGAGCTAACTTCGAAGTCGTGCTGAGTGCGCACTTAGCAAAGCCTAAGTCAACGATATCGACGACTTACGTAAAACTCAGGATATTATCCGAAACCACCGTATTAATTTTAAATGTATGTCACTCTAATTATTCATAACAATAAATAGGTAGTTTTAGGCCGTTTTCTAGTTTTAAATAGCATTAATCCATTTTGTATTTACGTAACTTACGTACTTATTACGAATTTCTTTGAATATAATTTTTTCTTTTTTTTTTTTGATTTTGCACTATCATATCCGTTCCCGTTCTCATACGCCCGTTTTCTATTTCATGCAATAATAACTTATTTATGAAATACAATTTGGACTGTGTTCGACATTATACAATATGTAATGTTACAGGTTTTTGTTTAAAAACCCTGTGGTTCCCGTTAAGTGCGTTCAACAGTATTAAAATCAAAATCAATCAGTATTCAAACGCACAGAAATAACTTTACTTCAGAAAACTCGACATAAAAATAATCAAATTAAATAATATTTGTAAATTGTATGTGGATTGATTACCTCTGCATGGAATGATAACGTGCCAAAGCGGCGGACGGCGGCAGCAAACATCTATCGCGTGCACGCGTCTTATCTACACTAACTGCATGAAAGTCGTGAACTCGTCACATCACTCAGCTGTTATTACTTTAGTAATCGATTGTCACAACTTTTTCAAATGTTCTTCGACTGATTGTAATAATTATGCACAAACACTAATCCATCACTATAATATCTACTTGACGATCACCTTTTATCTCGATGCACTTTTGACACCAGCTTATATTAATATTATAATGTCTGAACACACGTGTTTCAGAACAAATATTTCAGACTTTATTTATGCAAAGGCTGTGACTATTCCGCCCCGGTACCGAATGTTTTTTGAAATACTGTTTAATCGTACCACAGAAATAAAAATCGAAAGGTGTGTGTGATCAGGTGATCGCGCCAGCCAGTTGACCAGTCCACCACGAACAATCCATTTTTCGCCGAATTTTTCAAGACATATAAATATATTAAAATATTCCTTGTTTGAGCAATTATTTATTCTGTGGTTTGAATAAAATATCGAATACAAATCACTCACGGCTGTTACATAATTTCACAATGTTACATAATTTCACAAAAACAGATCCGTCCGGAACTAATTTACCAGGTGATTAATTTCATCTGAGACAAAACGTTTAACATCCAGCGCTCGCGCACTTCTGGTTGGAGGTTGATGCTTCAGAATATTCAACTTTTTCCGCCAATGGCAAAGCGACTGTAGCCTGCAACATAATATTGATATTTTATGAATCAACTAATTTGTTGTGATTTTTGATGTATTTTTTTTTATTTTGTAAAATCTACTAATTATTTTTGAATTTTTTCAACGCCTTAAATGCATGTCCAGAAAAAACAAAAACCTTAATTAACATAGACATTTTTTTCATCAATCGTTGATAAAAACCAAGAGTGAAACCAGAAGACGTTCTAACAACAACTAGATGCCAACCCGCCTGCCAAAAGTAGAAACTATGGCTGATATAGCCCCTTATGAGGTTATCTGTGAAATAAGATGAAAGGTTACGAAAACCTATACACATATAAGAATAAATGTAAAGACATACATAAACACACCTACTCGCTTCGGTCACGCGACGAACACTGAGCGCGTTCCGTACGGAATTTACGAATGTGTAATGCAACTTTCCGAATGTGTATTCCGAACGGGTCGGCCACATAGACACGGAATTCCGTTTTGCCCGTAAAATTTCGAACGGAAAACTACCGTACTTATGTGACGGGTCATAGATTTTATGTGGACTTGCTGCGTTCGGAATCCCGAATTGGAATTCCGAAACGGAATCCCGAAACGGATTTCCGTATGTATTAGGCGGACCCAACTTCTTACTAGTTTGTGGGCGGCAGGCGTAGGACAGTTGCCTTGAACCACAAAAATTTAATGGATGGTGGCGCCATCCATAACTTGTTTCCAAAAATAATTTGTTTATAGTTGGTCTTATGGCTTCACAGATGTCGCTACTTTGGAAAAATAAAATGAAATTTACTTACAAAATAAAAATAAGTGCACCAAAATATTATTGGTGATTTTATTGATAAAAAATTATAATTTTAACATAAAAACACGTAATAATTATCGAATCAATCGATAAATATGACAATTATGATACTGGCAACCAGCATTTTATAATAAAAAATAAAAATAAAAATGAAATAATTGTCATATTAAATTGTCATTCCTGTAACATCGCAAATAACCTTTTTATATATTATTATCTCACAAATACAAGTGTACTTATTGAAACTATTTACCTACTTTTAATATTAAAAGTATAAATTATTTTACAAAAAAAAAGTAAAAATTGTTTCAGTAAGTATGCGAATTAAAGAACATAATAGTTACATTAATATGATGTACATAGTATAGCTATATATAGCGAATTAGTTCGGATTCAATTTGTAGGAGACGCTAGTAGTTCAATTTTGTCTGCAATAAAATATCGTCAGAGGGCTCTCTTTTCCTGTATATACTTATTATACTCTTTGGTGGGCGGACCTAAGACAGTTTATGTAATCTTTCTTCTTCTTTTCTTAATAACTGGCTTTACAGCTCTGGGATCTAGCCCTTCTGAGCCTGAAGTTACAATATATTATAATAATTATCCTTCATAGTATACTGCTTCACAATATGTTGATGCGTCACATTGTGCAGCCTTTAAGAGATTTTGACAGCAACTTGAGCCAGCAGACAGCTGATTGGTGGCGATGATATCTCATGGCGCCTAAACAGACAGATACCTTATTTTGAGAATCACATCACTATCAGAGCACTTGTTTCACAGTTTCCACTAATAGTTCACATGCGTAGACACTTAATACACAAAATCGCACCACTTTTACATATCAAAGTCCACTTCAAATCATTATTTAAACAATATTACAGGAGGAGCAAACAGCCGCCGGTCAAGTTCCCGCCAAAAACACTATATCTAATCAAAAAAATACGAAACTTCATAGGCGTGAGCTGTCAAAATTATCAATCTAAATCATCTAAATTTGACAGAGTTATGGTTTATTTTATTTAGTAGATATGGGAATACGTTTTTTGTGAGTTTATAATAATTTATTCCCTTGTCTAGCCATAATTAAGTGAAATGTTTTTGAAATCCTTGAAGGCAATACGAACAAATTCTTTTAATAGTTACATAATATCAAAATATTTTTCGTCACAAAATTGGAACAATAATGCTTTAATTCTTAGTGATAATTGTGTACAAAAATTAAAGCAACTATGTGATGGAAAAACAAATTTCCTAAGGTTAAGCGTCGAGAGTGGAGGATGTTCGGGATTTCAATATAAATTTAATTTAGATAATAATGTGGCTGATGACGACAGGTAGTATATAGCTAAACATAATATATAACTTTACCAAAGATTCAGCTTTATTTGTTTAACGGTTTTTTTCATAGAAGAGTGGGCAAAGGAGCTTCACCTGATGGTAAGCGACTACCGCCGCTCATGAACAACTGCAACACCAGCGCATTTGCAGGTGTTTTGCCAGACTTTAGAAAGGAGTAAGCTCTTGTCTTGAAGGTCCCTAAGTCGTATCGGTCTCGAAAAATTGTTGGCGGTAAACTATTCCCCAAAGAGGTAGTACAAGGCTACAAGGTAGAAAACTCCCATTAAATTCCACAGTGGTGGACTGCTAAGCATCCAGGTGGTGTGGATGGTATCATAAATTTTATCATGATGTGTGCTTGTGAAATCTGGTGACTGGAATTTATCCAAGCAATTTCTTAGAGCATTCCCCTTGGTAAATGTGATAGAAAATGCAAAGGTATGCTACATCCCTTCGCAGCTCTAGTGAATTGAGCCGATCAGGAAGAACTTGGTATTTCTTTGTGATCAGCTCAATTCACTGGTGGATATTTTTACACCACTGGTTATCCAATGGTTATCTTGGTCTCTTAGCTATATTATTAATGAATAGCCTATTTGGAATGTTTACTGTAGTTAATTTGTTTTACTTTACTAATTGTCAAAGCTAGTATAGGGCATTGTGTGTATAATTATTTTTATTTTGACTTATTATGAGAGTCCATTGATATAGTACAAATATTGCATCCTTTTGTCTAAAAATAAAGTTAAATTTTAACCCTCTTAATTTTTTGTAGTTGGTCTGAAAACATATAAAGTTAAGTTTACACAAATTTAGAAAAAAGAGAAGTAAAAACTGATTATTTTTTATTGTTTGTTACAGAATATTTGAAAAAGATGGTGTGAGGGTAGTTATTGATGAGACATCTCTAGACTATATAAAGGGATCGACTATTGATTATCACACCGAACTCATAAGGTCTGCATTTAGAGTAGTGCAAAATCCTAATGCTGATGTTGGGTGTTCGTGTGGAGCAAGTTTTTCTATAAAAATAGATTGAAATTGATGTATTACGTATCCTTTAGATAGCTTGAAGATATTCTTGATTAAAATTGCATTGTTGTTCAAAATGTAAGTCATGTCATTTATATCTAATAATAAGCTACATTTTTAGTACTAGTAAAACTGTATTATTATTATTTTAAATTGCTTTAAGCCATTCTCTATCTAGTAAATCATAAATTAATCATCAAAATGGATGGTTTAACTATTGTGTCTATTTAGTGGACATTGAACCTGTTAAGATTATAACCTCACAAGTTTAACAGCATTAATTTACAGGTTTTTTAAATATATTAATTATTAACTATAATATTAACAATATTAACAAAATAATGTTTAAATTGATATCTGAACTATTATTAGTCATAAATACCTATATGCGGCAAAGTTATACTATGGGGTTTTAGTTAGTGTGAGTCTAATATACCTATGAAGAAAAGGTTGTTATATGCAGTTACCTAAATAAAAATGTGACGTTCAGTATTCAAATTTTCAACTTAAGGGTTTAGTTTTTGAATGGTAAAATGGAAAGCTAAATTAATTAGGGTTCTAAGATAACTGAGATAGGTTTAAAAGCACATTGAAGCCTCATTTTAAAAATATATAATTACTATGTTTTCAAGTAATCTTATAAAACCATTATGTTATTCCAAAAAATAAACTACATTATCCTTTTTATTACTTTTTCATCCTTGATTAAGTAATAATAAAAAGTAATGTAAAGGTATTAGAAGATAGCAAAATTTACCCAAATGAAAATTTTATTTCGTGGCACTCTTTGGGAGAGGTACTTGTTCAGTGAACTTGTGAAAGGCTGTAATTATGATGATAATGAAGGTGAATTTAATTTTAAACCTGATTAGGTTCGTTTGCATATATTCATGTGCAATGAAAGTGGGTCAATTACAAATATCTTATTATAATGGTGAATGAAATAAAAAAAATTCAAAAGCATGAAGGAAAAAAGTATAGTGGCAACTCATCTATGACATGTAATTTTCCTCATCATGTTCTTCGACATTATAGTCACAAAGAATTAAATAATATGTATTATTAATATTAATATAATAAAATAATATGTAATATTCATAATTACACATGATTACAATTATTTATTCTGTGATATAATTACATGAACATTTATTAAAATGTTTAAACCTTCATGATAAACCTATTTTTATATGTCCATGTATAGGTATCTAAATATAAAAAATGTTAACTTTATGTTGTAAACTTATGCCTATAAATTCGATGGTTGCATTATTTCAATCATTCCTTTCCATTCCATACACTTGACGCTCTGCAGATCTACATCCTTGCATTCAAACATAGATTATTGCATTCGAAGTTCAAACAAAATGTTTTGCTTTGTCATTCATAATGCATCCAACGTCCATCCAATTTTAATGGGGGTGTCTTCCATAGATATACTACTATATAAAATTATTGAGCAGTGTCTTCAAGCCTAAAGTAATAAGGCTTTTGATTAGACCATTCAATCCAATCGGTTGATCAGATGGGTTAGTAATAGTTAAAAAAAAATACAACAACATATACAACAACGAGATGCACTAAATCACAATTTTGTAAGTATTGTAATTGCAGATGATGTTGTCAAGCACAGTCAAGAGTATAATATAGGTAATCATGAACCTTTTACACTGTTGTTGATTTTGTGATGGTCATATATATTAAAATTTACAATTTGACCGAAATTGATGCAAGAGCAAGAAGGAATGTATTAAACAATCGAAAAACAATTTTTTCGATTGTTTAATACATTCATACATTTGTTCACTACATGAAAGTCCCACAATACATATACAATTCTTTTTGGGTAAGTACCTTTTTATCTACCAAGTAATACAAATTTAAAAAAAATATATTTATATACAGTGGATTTCATTTATTACGACCTTGGTTGTTGCGACTATTTACCTATAGCGACGTTAAATTTAAGTCCCTTGAATTTAAAGCATATTTTAGTACAAAATTCATATGGCTATAGGGACTTTGGATGTAACGCCGAGTTTGGTGTAGCGACTGTTTTTAATGAATCATTTGTAACAAATTCCTAGAAATCCTATGCTGATATTGCGACGGGAGTCGGCCGCCAAAGATTTCTTTATTTCACAAACATTTCTTATCTTTTGTTTACATCCACACAAATGGTCAGCAAGTGTGGAGACCTTTACCTTTTGTTTATAGATATCAGCTAAGTAGGTAGGGAAGCGTGTACGTTTCGGAGTTAAATTTATGGTTCAGTTACAAAGTGATATTGGTGATATGAGTAGTAACTGTAATGTATTGAATTTGTTACCTTTGCTTGTAACGACTTCCCGATATAACGACGAAAATAGAGTGGTCCCTTCATCGTCGTTATACCCGAAATCCACTGTATATATATTATAATGATTGTTATCAAACTGATGGTTCAATAACTCCTCTAATACTTTTACACTATAGAAAACGTCAAAACGCTATTCCATGGTGCTACAAAAATTAATTTATATTACTCGAGTTTTTAAGAAAAGTTCTCTATAAGACTATTCTTTGTTGAATATTATGAAAGCAAGTCATTAATAATTGTTTGTTTTTTGGAACATACCGACAGGGCCCGTTTATCCAATGCCCTGTGTACAAGATGTTCTTCATAGGAGTAATTATAAAAGATTCTAACCACTTTTCCGTCTTTACTCCTTTGAGTTTCATTATGTCTTTTGTTATTTGCGTCGTCAATGCCATCAACATTTTGTACGCAGGGCAATCCGGCCCAGTGATCACTGCCAACGAGCTGAATGTCCGTTTCGTCCAGTACTGATTTTTTGGCAGCTTTACACAATCTCTGAATAGGTTTAGCTCTAACTTCATAAGTATGTACCTACGCTCTCCCGGCGACGTTATATTGATATAATCGTCGTCGTCCTTTAACCCTAGAAAGATAACCTACGCTTCAGAGGCGCCCGCGTCGGTTTGACATCGCTGTCTCTTTCTAATGAGCGCGCGTATCTACCTGTCCTTATAAGTTAGCTCAGTGGTCGGTGCACAAAGTCGCGGGACGGCCGTTTTTACGCGGTAAGTACCATAGTTTTGCAGTTATGACTAAGTGTTGCGCTCCAAAGGCGCATGGTTATCTTTATTGTAACTTTTAGTGAAAGTATGAATTTGTTTATACTTACATAAAATGTTTATTATAACTGTTTATTTCTTTGTTTTAGCATAAAATCTTTTCGCCTTCATCATGACGAGCCGGAGAACACTATCTGATGATGCAATATCTAGGTTTATCGCTGAAGAGGAAGAGAGCGAGCATGAACGAGAGCAAGGAAGTGACAGTGAGATAGAAGATAATTTGAGTGAAGATGACATACAGAGTGATTTCGAAGACGAGTTTATAGATGATGAGGTGCCACAACAATTGAATGATACACAAAATGAAGACGATATAAGTCCGCCTGTATCTTCAGAGCCCACTGGAACTTCGGAATCATCCCGTCGTGACCACCGCATAATTGTTCCTGATCGCCGTGTGCTTAGGGGTAAGAACCAACATTGCTGGTCGACAATAAAAGGACAAAGTCGCGGAAGGACATCTGCCATAAATATTATTCGCACAAGTAGAGGTCCAACGCGCATGTGTCGAAATATATGTGACCCAATCTTATGTTTTAATTTGTTTGTTACCGACGAAATAGTGGATGAGGTCGTCCGTTGGACGAATGTTGAGATCTCTGTGAAACGTCGAGATAACATGATCAAAGCCACTTTCAGAGATACGTCTGTGACAGAAGTCCAAGCTTTGTTTGCGATACTCACTTTAAGTGCAGCAATGAAAGACAATCACTTGTCTACTGATGAGCTGTTCGATAGTAGTTTTTCAGGTACACGGTACGTGGTAGTGATGAGTAGGGATCGTTTTGATTTCCTGCTTAGATGTCTACGATTTGATGACAAGTCTATACGACCCTCTTTACGTCATGAAGATCCATTCATACACATTAGAAAAATATGGGAATTATTTGTAACTCAGTGTAAACTGAATTATACACCAGGAGAGCATGTCACAATAGATGAGCAATTATTAGGGTTTCGAGGACGGTGTCCGTTCCGCATGTATATCCCCAATAAACCCAGTAAATATGGAATTAAAATCCCTATGCTGTGTGACAGCGGAACAAAGTACATGCTAAATGCAATGCCGTATATTGGCAGAGCTACGAACACTAATGGGATGCCACAAGGAGAATTTTATGTAAAGGAGTTGTCTCGGCCCTTGCATGGCACAAACCGAAATATAACTTGTGACAATTGGTTCACTTCGGTTCCTCTCGCGAAATCCCTACTTCAGGAACCGTACAAACTAACCCTCGTTGGCACTTTACGATCCAATAAACGAGAAATCCCCGAAGAACTGAAAAACACTCGGTCTCGTTCGGTAGGCACGTCAATGTTCTGCTACGATGGATGTTTGACCCTAGTCTCGTACAAACCGAAGCCCTCTAAGATGGTTTACCTGCTATCATCGTGTGATGAAGACGGTGTCATCAACCCATTAACTGGTAAGCCTGAAATTATAATGTATTATAATCAGACCAAAGGCGGGGTGGACACTTTCGATCAAATGTGTTCCTCAATGTCATGTTCGAGGAAAACCAATAGATGGCCAATGTCTATGTTTTATGGCATTCTGAACATAGCATTCGTCAATTCTTATGTTATATATTGTCACAACATTCTTGCGAAAAACGAAAAGCCTCTAAATAGAAGGGGTTATATGAAAAAGTTAAGCGCCCAGTTATCTGAATCGTGGATGAAGGAAAGACTGGAAGCTCCTACTTTGCCAAAGCATGTGAGAGATAATATCGCAAATATTCTTCCGAAACCGGTTGTGCAGAACGATACAGATAATGAAGAAGAACCTCCAGCCAAGAAAAGGCGGTACTGCACCTTTTGCACTAATAAAAAAAAAGAGAATGTCTAAGATGACTTGCGTCAAAT